TTACAAAAAAATTACTATACAATAGGGTTAACTAAAAAAAAAAAAAAAACAAAAAAATTACGAATACAATGGAATTCGAAAAAAAAAAAAAAAAAAAAAAAAAAAAAAATCCGTACAGGACTCGCCGATTCACTATACGGGACTAACCGATTAGGTACAGTGAATGGGCGAGTCACTGTGCAGAATCGTCCGGTTCTCTCTAGAACTGAACGATTCCCGTTTTTTTCGCCGATTCGATCCGTCCATGGCGATTCCCAAGTCGAATCGGGCGAGTCCGGTTCGACTCGGCGTTTTTTTAAACACTGGCTCTTTGTGATTGTACAATATGAAAGGATGCAAATAAAATAAACTAGAAGCTTTACAGTGAAAAGTACAGTAGCACCTCAAAACCTTATAAAAAAAAGCATTTCTCACGATAGAAACCTTATGCTGGACTGAGAATCCATTTCTGCCCCTGATTGTAAAATTTGAAACTCCAGAAAAAAAAAGTGCAAATCTCATACATCTATGGATACTTCAAAATAGACTATCCATATGTATTACAAGATTCATTGTTTTACAATTTTGAAATCTATTGTTGTCAAATGCATAATTGTTGAGATACATATGATCCATTTGAGGGTTTTCCATCACAAAAATTGTAATTTTCAGGCGATATTTGAGACATAGCTCTAAGATGTCGCGGCTGTATGCTAATCTCTTCTATTTTCTAATGTTAATTGTCTGGACAAAGAAGAAGAACAGAAAATTGGAGGGGCATGTTCAGTCTATCTTGTATCGTGTAAATTTATACAGAGATATATGTCAAAATACAACAAGAGGTATACATCTGCATCAATGTACGCAATTGCTGTTGAGAAGAAAGTATGCATGTAGATGTAAGTGTTTATCTCTACAGATGACAAGTTCATGGGGCCATGGTGTTCGAACTCTACATGAGAGAGGTGTGTTTAAGGCAGATAACAATACCAAGGCATAGTTTGATTTTCAGGGCAGAGTACAATTTTGCCCACTTTGACGATTCCTATCCACGTTTTGCAAAGATTTCAACTTGACTTCTCTAGATCACCACCATCACCATTGCTGTTACTGCACCCCCACCATCACTACTCCACTGCCAACTCCACCACCACAGCAACTATACCGTCTCCCCAGTTACCTTGTCAGTAGCCACCACTATGCCACCACATCCACCAATCCCTAGCCGCTGCTACCACCAACCCCTAGCTGCCACCTCTGCCACCATTGCTCCACCACCAACGCCTAGCTGCCACCTCTACCACCATTGCTCCACCACCATCTCTACTGATGCAGGACAAATTGATTCTTATTTTTATTTTTTAAATTATATTGTAGGGATTTTAGGATTTAACTTGTATTTTTTTTCCTAGGATTTTAGGGGCATGGAGAAGTAATCATGGCCAATATATAGAATTTTTTATTTCTTCAGTCACAATTAAGCGTGTATTCACACCAGCAATACATGGAATGATGGAAACATTCACAACTCATATGGAACAAGAAAAACTGAACTTTTTGGGACATGGTTGCAATCTGATTTAAAGGTTTTCTTGCAACAAGAAATGCATGCGCACTAGTTTCTCAAATACATGTATATACCAGTAAGAGATAAACACCAAATTTTATCAAGCCTCTAAACAACTTTCATCTCACCCTTGATAATAGAGATGGGAGTAAAACTCAATGCATCCCTCTTACCATCCTGTCCAACCGGGCCACCCACATTTGCCCAGTCTAGGCAGACCCAAGCCCAGCCCTCAGGCCACAACCTAGGGCGTAGGCCTGGCTTTTTAGGGCTGGGCACCATCGGCCCGGCCCATTGCCATGACAATTGACAACCTCCTATTTGTTAAAACCACTAAACTCACTTGGTGGTAGTACCTTTTCCTGTCCCCTTTCTCTTGGATCACAAATGAGTTTCCCAAAAAGGAAAATGACATAAACAAAAATAAATACGTAATACTAAAATGCCCAGGGGCAAAATAAAAACAAGAGATTAAAGTGATAGTAGACACTAATACTTCCCATGAAAGATGATATGATCCTGCCAGAGCATATCCTAGACTTAGTCCAGGGGAACATCCTACTCGGGAGTACTTCTAGGAACTCAAGTTTTGGGGATATAACCTCCTTGACCTAGTGCACACGCACGCACGCACACACACAATTGAAACGAAAAAAGAAAGAAAATTTTGAATCATAGTGGAGGAATTGCAAATAGTTGAACTTGACTGAACTTGCTTAAAATATAATCAATCCACTGCTGGGAACAGAATCAATAGTATAGAAGAGAACCATAATGCTAATAGCCTTCAAGCACAATTGGATGAAATTGAGATAGCCATTTTCCAAGCTCAACCCCCACTCATAGTTCATAGCCTGGATTTGATAACTGACTGAACATGATGGCCATGTCCATGCCTTGGACCATTGTAGGCACGGCCACATTGTAAGGGCAATCTTTTGAAAACCCTGCTTTTCCTTTTTTCTTGACTTGCTTAATGCAAACCTTAAACTTCTCATGGCATTTTACACTCATCATCCCTAGAAAGCATTGGAAAAGAGTTACTACAACTATCTTGCCAAAAAGGAAATATTAAATAAGGAGAATAGTTGTCAGTTGTTACATGATATTAAACATGCATGATTAAGAAGAAAAATTGTCATTTTGACAGCAAAGGTGTATAAAGTACAACAAAAATATATTTATATAACACAGCTAATAAAGAAAGAACCATAATAAAGAAAGAACCATAAACAACCATCAGCTAATGAAAGAACCAAAATAAAAAAGTACAATAAAGAAGATAAGATTCCTAGAGCATGGAAATGTACCATGGAAGAGAAAAATTGCACCAAACATCTAATATCTGTAGGCAAATTGAGTAACATGTAAAAAAATGAAAAAAAATAGCCCTTGGGGAAGTATACAATACACCCCACCACATTTATGCAAAGATACAAATACTATTCATAGCCCTCCTCAAAAAGGAACAACAATGAATAATATTGTAATTTTCTCAGTTAGAGATTGGTCTTATTTAAATCAGTGATTGGTCTTATCTATTTTAATAAGTGTTTGACTAATAGAGCAAGTCAACTGGACTCACCCGAGTTACTCCGGCTCAGCAGGGCTCCAATCCAGAAATAACCCCCCAACTTCAGGATTATAATATTCATATATAGTTAATTACATCTGATATATAAATGATTCAATCCTTTGATTATATCAAATATAATTGACTTATATTTAATTTTGTTTATTCTTTTTATGGTTTATGCTTTTTAATATTCTTTCTAATTTCTTCATTTCTGAAAAGATGATCTGTAACCAGTTTTCTATTTTTTATTTTTTGAAAAAAAGCTCTGTCCTCTTTTCTATGCTTTTTCTGCAGTTTATCATTTTTTCCCCTGTTTTTAGGATTTTTTTTCTTTTTTCTTTTATGGTTTTTTAGGTTATTAGGCTGTTCAGTGTGGAGTCAGGGAAGTTGACTTAGACTCACCCAAGTAACACAACCCGGCAAGGGCCAAGTTCTGCAGCTAAGCCGAAAAGTGAAACACTGCCTTTCATCATATTTGCTCTGAAAGTAATGTAGGCTACAATTGACAATAGCCTTGAGAAATTTAGCGGAAAAAAGAAGAAGCAATCTCCCTGAGTACCAAACCTTTAGCAACATGCACTAAAACATTAAATGTTTCATCTTGTCATGAAATACACAACTGGAAGAAATCAGAAGAAAATTAATCCTATCTCCATGTAAAGGGGTAGGTAATCAAACACAATTGAAAAGGATGGAAGCCTTGGTATCACATGGGCTGCACGACCATAGATCTGCTTTGGACACAATATCATGTTTTTTTTACCTTTCAATTAACAAGAGAGTTGCAGAAGAGTGTCTGACACATTGCATCCATATCGATCCACCCGTGTTACTATCCTCGTAAATAAGCTTACACTTTTTCATTATCTTAAAAATTCAGCACTAACTCATAGTAATACTTCTTCTTCTTCCCTTTTTCTTAATTCTCATTTAAAAAAATTCAGTAGCCAAAATCCAAGGTCCAGTTTTTATCCAACATCATCCATGCCCGTTTACCTTATGACTCTGGATGGCCAAGCGTGAAAGGACACATTAAGTTGTCATTGAATTTTAAGAATTATGAGATAGTGTCACACATATGGTCCATTTATCTGCTGTAAACATCAACACAGTCAATTGCCATAAATTGAGGATAGAACAGAATAACCAAACGACTATACAATGCACCCTACATTTTAGGCAAGAGAAAAACAAAAATAAAGTTCTGGTGAGGCAGAACAGCATAGGAACCACGTAAAAATAGTTGCGGAACTGCACTTTCAGACCACTAGAAGGTAGAAGGTTGAACATTAGACATATTTTTAGGGACATGTTTCTCATTCTCTCACTAATTATCCAAAGGCCAATCAGATAACTACCAACTATGCTACAGAGCCTCCAGCTTTAATCTGAATATCTATATTGGAGGATAAACCGGGGGTGATGAGTTACATGTTCAAGATTTTTTACTCTAGGTTCTCCTATTCTTGGTTAGTTTTTATGTTTCCTCACATGCTTTAGTTATAATGCACAAGCCTCTACTTCGAAGGCTTAAACATACTGAGAGCAATAGTTATAATGTACAAGCCTCTACTTCGAAGGCTTAAACATACTGAGAGCAAAGAAACATAAAGGAGAATTGAACTTCTGAGAGCAAAGAAACAAGGAGAATTGAACTTCTAAATTTCCACCACAATGTATAGAATGTTGTCTGAGAAATATACACCATATGATCAACTCATAGCAAGATAAAGCATTTCGGTTCAACTTATTATGTTAGATAAAAGTTAGAAAACAAATCCATATCCCTCTTTCTGGTTGAATATGTGGACGAACAAATTGGTGTGAGGCACGAATACTAATGAGAAAACAAAACCCACAAAAGCAATTGAGGTCTCTGTTAATGAAAAGGTCTCTGCATCTACCTTTAGTCCCTAGGATCCAAGAAACCTCCACAAAGTGAATGTCAAGATATATCCAATAGTTAAATAGAACCCATCAAAGGGAAAGAGCAAACCATAACTCATCACAAATAAAATCATACAATTCCAAAAATCAGACATGGATTTTCAACTAAAACTACATAACTGAAATAGGCAAAGAGAAAATAAAATACAATAAAATAGAAACAAAAGAAATTCCTGTAAAACAATAGTCTTGGTAAAAATACAATTTCATTCATAATAATGAATTCATTTCTGTAGTAAAAAAATAGCTCTAATAACAAATCATAGCAATGAAATAAAACATTGCTCACCTTTTTTTTCAACACATTCATCATGGATCTTGCAACAGGCGTCGAGATCGTCGCAAGGCTTCTCTCCTGGGCAACCGGTCCATCCAACTCCACAAAACTTCCCATATCTTATCCCAACAGCTACCCAAATTTTAAAAAAAGAAACCCAAATTAAATTCTTCATAAAAAGAAAATGAATATATACAAATATTTCTTGTATATTAACTGGAAATCTAACAAGGACCCAAAATATTAACCATGAAAATGAGATTAACCCCAAAAATTAACCATGGAAATAAGGTGAGAGAGATATCTTACTGTTGCAGTTCTCTGCTACACAGGCTTTGCTGCAAGCTGGCTGCCATGGATAAAAACAAGTATTTTAGAGAGAGAGACAGAGCAGTTGGAAAGATTGTCTAGAGGTGGAGCGAGAGACACTAGAAAGGAAAGCAGAGGGGAAAAAACTATGAAATGGGTAGAGTGCGAACCTGCGGGGGCCCCTGGAGCGCATTAGAGAGAGGGAGGAGGAAGAGAACGAAGGTCGAAATCAACAGTGGAGATGCGCATCTCCACCGTTGGAGGCTGCTCATTTCTTTGTGTTCCTGCATCTACAACCTCGCAACGTTACGTATTCATGATTTATACACAGTAAATCCTATTGTGGCACAACATTCAAAAAAAGAATTTATTTTTTATTTTGTGCCTCTTATTTATCCTAACGACCTAATTTCGAGTAGTTAATAAAAAAAAAATATCACAAATACACTTTAATTTTTATCTATTATAAAAAAAACTAAAAACTTTCATAAATCTCATCTACATTTTTATTTTTTTTCAATTTTGAGTGTTTTTTTACGAAAATAACATTCATAATAGTCGTATTACATATTTTAAGTACCATAAAAACTAACCCCTATATTGTATGGCGTTCAAAATTCCGTAAACCTTTTTATCATGTTTATATTTTTCTCTTTCCTCTCTCTAATTTTTTTTTATGATTTTTTTTTTTCTTACTCTAATTCTTTTCTATAATTTTTTTTTCTCTCTCTAAATCATTTCTCTCACTAACTCACTTTCTCTCTCTACTAGGTCATCAACTCATCAAACGCGATTCCAACGCTCATTTCTCTCATTAACTCTCTTTCTCTCTCTACTTACTTCATCAACTCAACAAGCATGATTCCAAGGGATTCTAACACTCATTTCTCTCATTAACTCTCTTTCTCTCTCTACTTAATTTTCATAGGGGATAGGGTTGAAGGGAGTTTTTATGGGGATGGTAAGGTATGCACACATTATACAAATCTCTTTAGAAAGAGAAAGAGAGTTAGAGTGAAAAAAGATTTAGATAGAGAAATAAGAGATAAAAAAGAATTAGAGAAAAATAAGAGATAAATATTAAAAGTATTAGAGAGAAATAAGAGATAAATATTAAAAAGAATTAGAGAGAAAAAAAAGAGATAAATATAAAAAAAATTAAAATATAAAAGAGATAAATATAAACAAGATGAAAGAGATAAATATAAACAGTAAAAAAAGGTTTACGGTATTTTAAATGCCGTATAACATGGGTTAGTTTTTAGGGTACTTAAAATATTAAATGTGTTAGTTTTTACTATACTTAAAATGCCGTATTACATGAGTTAGTTTTTACGATACTTAAAATGGCCTAAAACATGAATTAGTATGTAGTATTACATGGGTTAGTTTTTAGGGTACTTAAAATGCCCTAAAACATGGGTTAGTAAAAAAAAGTCAAAATTTAAAAAAAATGGTGGGGGTTATTTTGGTAAAAAAAAAGGCCAAAATTATGGTACTTAAAATGCCGATGTAAATGGTTTAGTTTTTACATACTTAAAATGCCTAATACATGGGTTAATATGCGGTATTACATGAGTTGGTTTTTACTGTACTTAAAATGCCCTAAAACATAGTTAGTTTTTACGTATGCATGAACGTTATTTTGGTAAAAAAAAAAAACAAAATTAAAGAAAAAAAAGATGTGGATGAGGTTTATGAAAGTTAAATTTTTTTTTTTTCTAAATAGATGAAAATTAAGATATATTTTTAATAGTTTCTTCAAATAATAATTATGACTTTTTTATATAATAAATAAATGATCATATATCACTTTATTTATTACTTCTCACAAAATTGGATCGTACATAACGAATCGCTCGTTGCATTAAGAATAAATAAAAAAACTCAAATCCCCTGGTCTCATTATATACATTTCTTTTATTTATTACGTCTCAACAAATTAGTACGTGCATACTGAGTCGCTTGTTCATTAAGAAATTCAAATTCCCTCTTAACTTAAGAGCATGTATAAGGAGCATATCTTACTTCCACTCTCTCTATTAGAAGACTTGGATTTTTTTATGATTATTGAGAAACTTCAACACCACATTTTCTATGCAACTTACTTCAACCTAATTTTTTCTTTCGCTTTTTTTTTTAAAAGAATTTTTTATGCATATACCCTCTAAGGAAAAAGTTCATTTTTTTAAACGTAAATGTCCTTCTTGTACACAAAAATCATTTTGGTCATATTTGACGTTGACTCTTGTATCTTAGTAGCATATTGCGGAGCACATTATTGTATTGTTGGACCCATTATTCCATAAACTTAAGTGCCGAACCACCTTAAGATAACTACTCGACCGAGATTGAGTACTGCTCGACCGCCTTTTATACAGTGCCGGATCTCTGGAATCCAGTAACATTTACTGGCTCACCACCCTTTGACCGTTCTCTTTGCAACTGCTTGATCGCTCTTTATAGAGTATTCTACTGCTGGAGCACATTTAGACAATGCCTTATAGAGCATTCTACTGCCGGAGCACATTTAGACAATGCTTATTTGGGTGGAATAGAGGAGAGAAGAGTGGGTCTTTATAGAGTGTTCTACTGCCGGACCACATATAGACAATGCGTGGGATAGAGGACAGAAGAGTGGGTAAAGTAAAAGTAAGGAAAGTATGGGAGGGTAGTTTAGGTATTTATTTATTTATTTATTGGTAAAGTGTATTTTGGGGAAAAAAGTGAGAGACAAAGTTAGGTTCGGGGTTAATTGAATAGAAAATGTAGTCTTGGGTATTTTTTTTGTAATTTATTCTAAAAAAAATCAAAATACTTAGGTCTTACTATCTAAAAATTAGATAGTTTCTATTCAATCTCAAGACATTATTTTTTCGAGCGCATAGAGGGTACAATTAGGGTGTTGTTTTTTTTGTTAAAGTTAATCTATAGGTTGAAAAAGTTACATCTCCAAAATTCGGGTCTTAAAATTAATTTTAAGTGGGGTTTTACTCGGGTTTTGTTGTTTTTTGTTAAAGTTAATCTTTGGGTTGAAAAAGTTATATCCCCAAAATTCGGGTCCTAAAATTAATTTTAAGTGGGGTTTGACCTGACGGAGTAAATGGACATTGTACTCCTGTTGGATTAAAATATCTTTGTGCTTACCTTAATTTATCATTTACATTTAATTTCAAACATTAGACACTTGAGATTTTTTTTTTTTTGGGGTAAATATACGAGTTGAACTTTAGATATAGCATTGTTAAACATCGGCTGATAACCACTCAATTGAAAATAGAGTTGCTAACTAATCCTGGGCTCCTCACTGCGTCATGGGCTTATGGGCTCAGCACAGTTTCAAGAAGGGTTTAGGCACATGTTAAGAGCAAGGGTGGGCCTTAGTCAGGTTGCTTTTAAGGCTCGAAATATTTTTGGGCGGAGCCCTCTCTACAAATGTATTTTACATATATTAAATAATTTATCTATATGCCATAAGATTAGCTAAATAGTAAGATTAAACTTAAAGCATATGGTAATCTATACAATAAACTAGACAATAAACTAGAAACAAGAAAAATGTGAAAAAAAAAATCTTTCAATTAGCAAAAATGAGAGAGAAAAGAAAATATAAGAATCGAGACTATATTAAATGCATTAAGAATGAGGATCAAAAAGTCTTGATGAATGATGAAAAGGTCAACAAAATGTGGAGAATTTATTTTCAAAAAGTATTAAATGACAAACACAACAGTAGAAGGAACAATCGGTATAAATGAGGGGCAGATGTCATAGATACATTCATAGGATTAAAGCAGTGTTTAAAAAAACGCCGAGTCGAACCGGACTCGCCCGGTTCGACTCGAGAATCGCCATGGAAGAATCGAATCGGTGAAAAGAACAGGAATCATCCGGTTGTAGAGAGAACCGGACGATTCTGCACAGTGACTCGCCGATTCACTGTATAGTAAATCGGCGAGTCCCGTACGGAATTTTTTTTTTTTTTTTTTTTGTAATCCATGATATATTTTTTGTAATACTTGATCAATTTTTTTGTAATCCATGATCGAATTGTTTTTTTTTTTTTTGTAATCCATGATCGAATTTTTTGTAACCCATGATATAATTTTTTGTAATCCATGATCGAATTTTTTATAATCCATGATCGAAATGTTTGTTTTTTTTCTTGTAATCCATGATCGAATTTTTTGC